TGGCCGGTGGGCCCTGCATCCCCGGGCCCAGGCCTTGCGCTCCCTTCGGGCCGGGCGAAAGGGGGGGATTGGGAAAGGGGGGGTTACGAAATTTGCTGCATGCAGCTGGTTTCGGCTTCACCGAGGGGCCCATTCCTCGATACATAGCCGCCTCCGGCGCTGGGAGGCGCCGGGAAAATCAGCTACGCGAGCTGATTCTCAAACCCCCCCTTTTGCTATCCCCCCCTTTCGCCCGACCCGATGGTCCCTCGGCGCTGCCGCTCAGACTCGAGCTCGACTCCGTGCCGGATGCCGCCCGATCCGACACGTGCTCCGTCCTCGGCCCGGCCTGCCGATTGTCGGTGCTGACTGCCCAAAGAATATCTATATCTATATCTATATATATATATATGTATATGTATATATATGTATATACCACCATGCCGATTCCTCCTCTCTCTCCTCTTTCCAGCGAGGGGGAGGGGGGGAGGGAGGTGGTGGTGGTAATTATATTTTCGGGCCCCCTATCGGTGCTGCCTGCTCCCGCCCCGGGGCCGGACAGAAGACGACCCCAGGACGACGGGCGGCCGCGCGAGGGCGGGGTCGAGGGCTCCGGGGCCCACGGGCCGCACAGACAGAAGCAGTCAGCCGGAGGTCTGGACCTTTCGACCTGGGTTAGCACGAGCCTGCCTGCTACAGACATCGCATCAACGACATTGTTGCAGTTTTGCCGTCGGGTTGTTTTTTTGGTTGGCGCATGCCCCCGTAAAGATTGTCGCGAGGTCCCCGCAACATTGATGCGCGTCCATGGCCTGCTTGTCGCTACGATTGCCGCATTTTTGCCGTTTCCTTGTTTCCCCGATCTCATGCAGAATTGCACTTTTCCGGTCGTCTTGTGGTCGTCCCTGGGCCGGGAAGTTGTCCTCAGAGGTCGACAAAGAGGTCACACTTCCAGCTGCGCGTTGCGTTTTGCCTGCTTCTCCATCCTGGGCCGTTTTTTGCTTTCCAGCGGTCCTGCAAGTGGCCCCCGCGGAGGATGACAATGGCATTGAACATGTGAAGCAGAAAGGTTTGGCGCCAGAGGTATGAGCCTTCGGAGGTCGCTTGAGGTCTCTCAGAGGCCACCGTTGTCATCCCTGGAGGCTCCAAAGAAGGCAACACACTTTTTCCGACGAGGCAGAGAAGCTGCTCCAGCGGGTGGCGATTCGGGGCGACCGAACAGCGAATTTGGCCGGCGTGCAAGAGGGGGGAGAGGACTGGGTCAAAGAAGGCCAAAGGTTTTAGAACCTTCGTCCGTAATCCTTTGCGATCCCCCTTGATCCTCCTCGGTCCATACCGATCCTATTCGATTATCCTCCATTTTCGATGCCCCTCCTCGATCCTCGATCCTCATCGGCCCTCGATCCTCCTCGAGCCTTGATCCTCGATCCCTATCGGCCCTTGATTCCGGTCGATCACCCCACATCCTCTTCGAAATTGACTTATCTTCAAGGTCTTCGCCCCCATGCCGCGGGCCCCCTCTCTTAGAATGGGACTTGCCAGAGCTGTGTTGGGATGTCTGGACGCTGACGTGAAGCAATGTCGGGACTTCACGCGAGGGCAAATATTAATTTACGAAGGTTTATGGCTTTGGTGGCGCGAAGATGAGGTAATTTACGATGGTTCATGGCTTCGGGGACGCGAGCATAGAGTAACTTACAAGGGTTTGTGGCCTCGGGGACGCAACTATTGAGTAATTTACTCGGGTTTTTGGCCTCGGGGGCGCAACTATTATATAATTGGTGAGGGTTTCTGGTTTCGGGGGCCCAGATAATCTATACTTTGCAACGGTTTGTGGCCTCGGGGACGCAAGCATGGTGTGATTTACTTGGGGTTATGGCCCTGGAGGCGCGAATATTGTTGGTTTCGGGGCGCGCGAATTTTGTAATTTCCAAGGGTGGTCTCATGTATTTTTACGTGTCCCACGATCCCCCCGGGAATTCAGACAACGCAATTCGGGGACGCTGGCCAGGACGTTGTTCGGCTCCCCCCCTCGCGCGTTCAGCAACAATTTAACGGTAAGGAAGCAGACAGCAGGACTGTAACAGTGGAAATTGGAGACTGCAACTGGTACAGGGAGCTGCAAGCCGAATCTTCGCAGCCTGATGGCCCCGCAAGGGGGGGCCAGCGGATTCACGATCCTCGATGCCCATCCTCGAGCCGTACTCCTCGATCCTCGATCCTCCTCGATCCTCAATGCCCATCCTCGAGACTTATCCTCCTCGATCCTCGATCCTCCTCGATCCTCGATGCCTAATTATCCTCGAACCTCGATCCTCCGCGATCCTCGATCCTTGATCCTCCTCGATTCGCGACCTTCGGTCTTCCTCGGTCCTTCTCGGTCCTCGATGCTCATTCTCGATCCTCCATCCTGCACGACCCTTGATGCCCATCCTGGAACCTCATCCCTCCTCGATCCTTCATCCCCCTCGAACCTCAATCCCCGATTCTCCTGGATCCTCGAACCTCGATCCTCCTCAATCGTCGATCTCCGATCCCCCTAGAATCTCGGTCCTAGTCGGAAACTCCTGGTCGCAGGAGGGCAACTATCCACCTCACTGGTTCTGGTGTGGCCCATCCTAGGTCTGGGATCGGTGTATCTGCCTCCCTGTTCAAGCCAGGTGGATATACGTAGCACCCCGCAATTGCGGATAAGAGTGAGGGGGCGGGCGCGGGCGACGCGGGCGTCGTCGAGCCGGCGGACCTCGTGGCCCCTACCTTCCCTGTCGATGGCGCTCTCCTCCTCCTCCTCCTCCTTCTCCTCCTCGTCCTCGTCCTCATCGTCATCGTCATCCTCCTCCTCCACCTCGTCCTCCTCCTCCTCCTCTTCTTCCTCGTGCTCCCTCTCCCCCCCTCGTCCTTTCATCACCGTCCTCCCATTGTCGTCCTCCCCCTCATCGGCCTCCATCATCGTCCTCCCATTGTCGTCCATCATCTTCATCCTCCCCCTCCTCCCCCTCCTCGTCCTCCTCCTCCCCCTCCTCCCCCTCCTCGTCCTCCTGCTCCTCCTCCTGCTCCTCCTCCTTTTCTTTCTCCATATTCTCCTTACATCCTCTCTTCTTCCGCGTCCTCCTCGTCCCCTGTTTTTTCCTCCTGCCTCCCCCTCCTTTCCCGAGATAACTGCAACGCAATCCTTTTTTCCACTTTATGCTCCCCGACTTCTCTGATCAAGGCAACTCGCCAGGGCAAAGTTGCTGGACGGGCTGGTGTGGATGCGCGGAACTTGAAGAGGTCCTTGCGGGCTCAGACGGCATGCAAAAATCCGCCGCCGCGCTTGTGCGGCATTGGTTTGTTCAGTGAACGTGGTTTGGGTCGCGGGTGGGTCGCTGGCTCTCCACCTCCACCTGGAAGGAATGCAAAAGCAGCCCGCCGCAGGCGCCCAAAACATTAGTTTGTACACTGAACGTGGTTTGGGTCGCGGGTGGGCCGCGGGTTCTGCACCGGGAAGGAATGCAAAAGATTCCCGCCGCAGGCGCCGAACAATGTGGTTTGTACCCTGAACGTGGTCGCGGGTGGGCCGCGGGCTCTCCACATGGAAGGAATGCAAAAAATGCCCGCCGCAGGCGCCGAAAAATGTGGTTTGTACCCTGAACGTGGTTTGGGTCGCGGGTTGGTCGCGAGTTGGTCACGGGGTGGGTCGCGGGCTCCCCACCTGGAAGGAATGCAAAAAAGCCTCCCACAGGAACCGAACATTGTGGTTTGTACCTTGAACGTGGTTTGGGTCGAAAGTGGGTCGCGGGTGGGTCGCGGGGTGGGTCGCGGGTGGGTCGCGGGTGGGTCGCGGGTGGTCGCGGGTGGGTCGCGGGTAGGCGCGGGTGGGTCGCGGGGCGGGTTGCGGGTGGGACGACGACAACAAACAACAACACGCAACAACGAGAATCCGCACCGCGGAATTCCACTTCAGCCACGCACCCAGGGACAGTGAATGACCGTTCGGCCCCCTCACTCTGATCAGAGTGAGGCTGCCGAGCAGTCATTCACTCTCCCTGGGTGCGTGGCTAAAGTGGGATTCCGCGGTGCGGATTGTTGTTGCGATGTGGTTGTTGTTGTTTATTATTGATTGCTGTTGTTTAGTGTTGCTTGTTGTTGTTGTTGTCGTCGTCGTCGTCCTACTCACGACCCACCCGCGACCCATTCGCGAACCCTTCCTCCTCCTCCTCCTCCCCTCCTCCTCCTCCTCCTCCTCCCTCCTCCTCCTCCTCCTCCTCCCCCTCCTCGTCCTCCTCCCGCCAGCGACCCATCCGCGACCCACCCGCGACTCATCCGCGACCCACCCGCGACCCGCCCGCGACCCACCCGCGACCCACCCGCGACCCACCCGCGACCCACCCGCAGCCCACCCGCGATCCACACGCAGCACGCCCGCGACACCCGCGAACCACACGCGATCCACACGCGCACACCTGCACCCACCCGCGACCCACCCGCACCCACCCCGCGACCCACCCGCGACCACATCCGCGACCCAACCGCGACCCACCCGCGACCCAGCCGCGACCCACCCGCGATTCATCCGCCGACCACCCCGCGCCCGCCCCCATCACTCTTATCCGCAACTGCGGTGTGCTACGTGCACCGATCCTGTTCCCAGGGTGGGCCTGGAGAGGATCGGTGAGGTGGAAAGTTGACGCCTCCCGACGAGCTGATCCAGAAAGAGTGAGGTTCGAGGATGATCTGAGATCGAGGATCGAGGATGATCTGATATCTAGGATCGAGGCACAGAGGATCGATGATCGAGGGTCGAGGAGGATCTAAGAGGAACGAGTTTCGACTAGGATCGAGGATCGTGGCTGACCGATTGGGTGGGTAGTTGGCGTCCCCGATCACCCTCGACGCTCCTCGGCCCTCGATCCCCCATCCCCGAGCCTCGATCCTCCTCGATATCCTCCTCGGTCCTCCACGCTCCTCCTCGGTTCTCGTTCCTTGATCCTCGATCCTCCTCGATCCTCGATCGATGCGTCTGCCCCCGTCGGCCCTGGCAGGCGGCGCCGCCGCCGCCCCAGCGCCCGCGGGCGCGAAGAAGGCCCCCCCCCCCCCGCCTGTACTCCCCCACCGCTTGTGAACTCGGGCTTCGAGGGACGGGGGTCAATGCAAACGAGGAGGAGAAGGAGGAGGAGGAGGAGGAGGAGGAGGAGGAGGAGGAGGAGGAGGAGGAGGAGGAGGAGGGGGAGGGGGAGGAGGAGGAGGAGTAGAAGGAGGAGGAGTAGAAGGAGCAGGAGGAGGAGCGCCGGATCTTGCAGGATCCTTCAGTGCCAGGGGTGCACTGACCCGGGGTGGGGTGCAGGATCCTGCAGGATCCTGCGAGATCTTGCAGGATCCTGCAAGCCCTGGCTGACCCAGGTCTGGATTGACCCTGGCCAGAATATCCCCGATGAGCTTGAGGCCTGATTTGTTGCATTTGCTTGGGCGGAGGGTGGGTCTTTTCCCAGATGTGCTCGCGCCGTGAGCGAACCACGACGGAAGGTCTTTGACACTCTTCGGCCTCCTGGGGCCCGCCAGGCAACGACTCGAAAATGAGCATTGGCCTGGCGGCCAGGGTCGGGCCTTCTAGGTCGGGACGTCGGATGCCTGGATTGTTTTTCAGGTGTGGCCCCCGCCGGTGCTGGCCCACCACGCTTCGGTCGGGACTCAAGAGACGGGGGTCAATGCAAACGGGGGTCAGCCAGGGCACCGGATCCTGCAGGATCCTGCGAAGACCCCAAGACCCCCTCTGGCTGACCCGGGTTAGCGAGCCGTTCGTGGCCGCGAGGCGGCCGCGCCTATTGGTTGACCCGGGTTTGCGAAGACCTGCGTTGCAGTTTTTTTTCCTGCCTTGCAGTTTTTGGTTTCCTGCTGACCCCCGTGCCTGGATTGACCCGGGTCAGAAGATCCCCGATTCGGCGCGACACGCGAGCCACTCCCACACGTCCGGGCGTCAGCGTCCCGAGGCTGCTTTCCGGCCGCCCGTCCCACGAAGCCGAGCGACTCGCTGTCCGCTTGCAGTGTGTGCAGTCGGGGCCCTGAAGAAGGAGCCCTTTTCGTTGGGGAGGGGCTCCGCGTTCCTTACGTCTTTCACAGCTTGCCTCAGGCTTTCCTTATGTCTTCGACAGGGAATCGAAGGTTCACTTATGGAAAAAAGGGGCCTCGTTCCTTGTTTCGGATTCCTTAGGTCAACGCCCCGACTGTAGCGCCGGGGCCGCCGCCGCTGGACGTTGAGCAACAGTTTCCGACCGCACGCGGATGGAGGGTGGGCTGTTTTGTCGTTTTCAGATGTCGCCGGGGCTCCTCGCGCCTTCGTCTCACACGTCCCTGCCTGTTACATGGGTGCAGGGCGGAGTTGTTTCCGCATGAGTGCCACATACCTTCGACCTAGCATTTTCCAACAGAAGGGGCTGTTTTCAGTATGTGGCTCTTGTTGCTGCAGCGCCGCACACACAAGTTTTCCTCCAACGTGTACAAGGTTGGGGGGCGGTTCCTTTTCCATGCGAGGCTCTCGCTGGAGAGTTCCTCGCGTTTGCCGTTCAGAATGTAAGGTCGTGATACTGCTGTGCCGACGGAGGGCGGTTCTCGATCAACATTGGGTCTCTCGCTGACTCTAAGATCCTACCCCCTTGCGCTTCTTACATACAGCTAGAAATGCAACCTGCCTCTCCTTTTTTTTGCGTGCTCGATCATGGACGCCTTGTTAGCGCGAAGCATCCTGCTTTCACGCCGATGACCGCCGAAGACCGCCGAAGACCGTGTCGGGCCGCCGCCCAGACCGCCGAAGCACCGAAAGACCACCGAAGACCGCCAAAGACCGCCGCCCAGACCGCCGAAAGACCGCCGAACACTGTCGAATGTCCGCCGAAGACCGCCGAAGACCGCCGAAAGACAGCCGAAGACCGCCGAAAGACCGCCGAAGACCGCCGAAAGACCGCCGAAGACCGCCGAAGACCGCCGAAAACCGCCGAAAGACCGCCGAAGACCGCCGAAGACTGTGTCGGGACCCAACGCCTGCGGCAGGGCGCGCGCCCGCTGGCGGTTTTCGGCGGTCTTTCGGCGGTCTTCAGAGGCCAAGATGCGTGGCGAGGGGTCCATGATCGAACGCATCATATTTCCAAGCTTGGATATCGGTCGAATGGCAGACCCATGAGGCATTCGTTTTGGGACGGGAGGGTATATTGCAGCATCGTTGATGCTCGTCGTCGTCGTCGTCCTCCTCCTCCCTCCTTGTCATCCTTTTTCCCGTTCCTTCCCCTCCTCCCATTTCTTCCCCTCCTCCCGTTCCTCTTCCTCCTCCCGTTCCTTCCCCACCTCCCCTGCACACCCCTCCCTCCTGAGCCCCCTCCTCTTCTCCTCTGCTTCCTCCTCCTCCGTCCCCCTTCTCTCACCCTCTTCTCCACAGCCTCCCCTCCTCCCCTCCTCCCCTCCCTCTCTCTTCTTCCCTCCCTCTTCTCCCCTCCCCCTCTATTCTCCCCTCCCTCCTTGCCTACAATTGCTTTCACCTTGCTCGATCTGATCACTACTCTCCCCTCATCCCCGAAGATGGCCGGGGAGTGGCGCTCCCCTTCCGCGTTTTATTGCACGTATTGATGCAGAGCTGATCTATCCAAGGGATTTTTTGTAGTCCGAACGTTCTCTGTTCTTCCAAGGTGGCGCTCCCGCTGCATCATGGGCCTCATCTAAGGATCGGAGCTTTGCTCCTGTCGTTCAGTCTGGCGCTCTCGCCCCAACGCGGGCCAATTTTCTGGATCCGAGTCCTTCCTCATCGTTGTCGCCCGCCTCCTTATTCCTCCCCCTTCCCCTGGTCCTTTTGCTCCGTTTGCTCCTTCCATTCCAGTTCCTTCTACTGCTGTTTGTTTGTTTTTGTCCTCATACTTCCTCACCCTCCCTTTCTTCCTGCTCATCCTTCTGCTCATCCGTCGCCTCCTCCTCCTCCTCTTCCTATGTACGCAGCTGCCTCTTCCCAGCTGCGCATGATGCGACGGGATCTTTTTTTGCGTTCCAGGTCCGCTATGACACGCGTCTGCTGATAGAGAGCAAATCAACACAATGGGAAGGGATGGGTGGGATGTCAGAGATGGCGCGAGCGTGCCTAGCTTGTCCCCCTCTCGTTCTTCCTTTCCCCCCCCAATGCCGTCCCTCGTTTCACCTTCTTTCCCTCCTCTCTCGCCCCATCTCTCCCCTGACCCTGTTCCCCCCCCCTCCCCGCTCCCCTCCTTCTTCTGCTACTCTTCACCTTCTCTCCTCCTTCACTCCCGCCTCTCTCCCTGCTCCCAGCTTCCCTCCCTCCACTCCCTCCCGTCACTCCCCTCCTCCCCTTCCTCCCTCTTCTCCTCATCTTCATCCTCCTCCTCCTCCCTTCCTCATCATTTTCGCTCCTTCTGCTGCTGCCCTGCTCCTTCCTCCGCCTCATCCCTCCTTCCTTCCTCCTGCCTGGCTCCTTACTCCTCTGGCGCTTTCCTCCCTGCCTCCTCGTCCCTCCTCCTCCTCGCCCTCCTCCTCCTCCTCCTCCTTCTCCTTCTCCTCCTCCTCATCCTCCTCCTCCTCCAGTCCTTTGCCTAATACACAACTCCTTGTCGCGCCCCGAGGCCGGTCGAACGGGCGGGCCGGGCGTTTCGCCTGAGCCTTCCTCACCTATTATGACCCTCAAGGCGGCAATTTGGCAACGGATTTGCAGATGGAGGGCGGGTGGGTTTCAAAATGTGTCTCTCACTGTAGCGCTGCGCACATTCGTATTAAACGTGTGCAAGAGCTTCACGGATTGAGGGTGGGTCGTTTTCAAAATGAGGCTCTCGCCTTGGCGCCGCGCACATTCGCTTTCAACAGTTGCAAGGGTCTCACGGATTCAGGCTGGGACGTTTTCAACGTGTGGTTCTCGCCGTAGCGCTGCGCGCATTCGTTTTACAAAAGTGCAAGCGTCATGGATGGAGGGCGGGTGATTTCAAAAATGTGGTTCTTGCCTTAGCCCCGCGCACACTCGTCTTCAACAATTGTAAGAGCTTCACGGATGGAGGGCGGGCCGTTTTCAAATTGTGGCTTTCGCGTGAGCTCCGCGCATATTCGTTTAAACCATAGCAAGGGTTACACGGATTCAGGGTGGTTCGTTTTCAACATGTTGCTCGCGCTTTAGCGCCGCGCACATTCGTTTTGAACATGTTGCAAGGGATTCACGGGTTTCCATGGTTAGCGTGCCAGAAATTCGATGTCGGAGCTGTTCAGGATTGTCAGGACGCAACAGTTACGTTGATTCGCGGTATTGGCGTCCCAGGAATGGTGTTCTGGTACGGTTCAGGATCGCCAAAACGTGCCAGTCAGGTTAATTCGTGGCGCTGAAAATGGTCTTCTGGCACGCCTCAAGATGTTCACACGGCTGTCCCCCAACGGGGCAATTCCCTTGGTGGAGTTGACCCCCTGTAGGGGCCCATGACGAGGGATCTTGGAGGGAGGGTGTATTTCAACATCGTAGTTGAGTCTTGGGTTTATACTTGTCCTCCTCCTCCTCCTCGCTTTCCTCCTCCTCCCTTTCCTCCTCCTCCTCCTCCTCCTCCCTCCTCGCAAGACAGGTTGCGCATTGCTTACTATTCTCATCGAGTTTACCGCTGTGTGGCCATTGAACACATTCGGCCCGGCATCGCTCCACCGTCGCCGCCGCTCTCCCTTCTCCCCTCCCTCCTCCGCTTCCTCCCCCGCGCCCGGTGGCCCCCTCCAAAACGAGGTGCACCTCATCCGGCACGGCGAGGGGCACCACAACGTCGCGCAGCGGGACAGCCTGCGGGGCAAGCGCTGCACCCTCGAGATTGGTCCCAGTCACCCCTCCCCGCCCCCAGCAAGCAAAGTTCGGAGGAGTAACGGATACAGTTGCTGCTGCTCGTCCTGGAGAGCCTTCGTCGCCACCGCCGGGTTCGCCTCGGAATTCTGCTCAGGGCGTGCACCTGGAGAGGTCTGTGGAGTAGCGGTATCCTTAATGTTTCTTTCTCCACGAATGTGGCCCAGCACTTCCAGGTGCGGGTCCCTGGAGGCCCGTCTGGTGTGTAGGATAAACAGAAGACGGCAAACCAAGACGGCAAACGACGCGAAGACTGTGTGATTTTTGTAGGGTCGCCAGCCTTAGCCATAGCAGTGCGACACGCTGGTCGCTATTTCACGAGCGCGCCATCATGGGTGCATGACGACGCCTCTCCGATCAGTAGCACTTCGGGGGCGTCCCAAACGGGGGTGAGGACTAGGTGTGCGTGTGTGTGTGTGTGTGTGGATATTCTCGCCAGGGTCACGCAGTCTCCCAGATGGCATGGCTCCCTCTTATTCTTTCGAGGCGCTCCATGGCCCCACCGCCTGCGCAAATGCCTCGGGCCATCCCGCTTTGAGCCCTCGCTTCCTGGCCTCCCTCTCCGGCACACCCGATCTCTGCTGGTCGCCTCCACGTCATTGGCGTTAGGTCCGGCATGTCCCCTTACATGGGGATTTTGGATGAAAATTATTGAACACCCCAGAAATATTCAAAAATAGCAAAATCCCCTTACAAATTTTGGACTATTTTTGAATATTCCCCCTGTAGAGGGACAGGCCTGACTTAACATTGGCGTCGCCCAATCCTCGAAGTTAGCCCAGACGGAGGCTCGCGCGGACCTGCGAGCGTTTGTGCCTGCGTCCTTTTCTGTCCCCTGACCCGAGGAGTGGCGGGCCCTGCCGGACTGGGACGGCGTGCCCGGGCCCCAGGAAGCCCTTAGCCTTGGGCGCTGCGTAATGGGGGATCATAAATGAGGGGGCGGCGAGTGTGGTCCGAAAAGGTACCCAAATGGTACCTAAACGAGCCCCCTGGGGCTCTGGAGGGGCCCGAAAGGGGCACGAAAGGGGACCTTTTCTGACCCCCCCATTTGTGACCCCCCATTAAGCCACGCCCGATAGCCGCTGGTGGGAAAACCAGCATGTACCGATACCGCAACTCCCGCGACCCCCTCACGGGGCTGTCTCTGACCAGAGCTTCGAGGCGAGTCCCGCGGCGGCGACGCGGGCCTCCGGGGAGGCCCAAGAAGGCGAACACGGGTGAAGGGTAGCGGTATGTATATTCCGAGGTTCTTTGATAAGCGTCGGGGGGGCATCACCCACGCCGACAGCACCACATCGACCCCCGTCACGGACAGCCACCGCGCGCCGAAGGCGCTCCGACCCCCGTCGCGGCGCGACGACGAGGCGAGGTTGAGCCCCATCGACGAGGAGGAGGATGTGGGAGGAGGAGGAGGAGGAGGAGGAGGAGGAGCGAGGAGCGAGGAGGAGGAGGAG